CATCCATAAGCCTCAGTTTTCAAACCTGCAGAATGGGGGTAAAAATCATGCCTGCCTCATTAAGTTGCTGGAGACATGAGATTTATTAAAATATATTTAACTCTTAATTTATAAAAAAATTAAATTAAGCAAACTTTGGGTCAGGAAAAAATATAAAAAAGTAGGTTATATCACTGATCTAGCCTTTTTTCTCAACCATTTGTAAATGATAACTTTTGTATTGTCCCATTCAAAACAAATGGGAGTTTTCAGAAGCAGTGAAGGACTCTTTCAGTGGCTTCCAATGTGATTCCCTGTCCATTTTTTTCTTTGTAACTTCAGCCTCCACACACTTCCCGGAAGAAAGTTTCTACCAACCAAACACGACCATGTCAATTGTCTGCTGGAAAGATAAATTTCTAAGTCCATTACCTTAGAAATTTAATGCAACAGCCTTATCTCCCTCTGCATCATCATTTCTCACCACCCCCTACCACTCTGTCTTTGCTCGAGAAACTCTGACTCTCCGTGTTTTCCCAGAGATTCAGAGCCCTGAAATTTCCAGTCAGACCTTCTAACTGAGCGGCCAGCTGTCTTCCCCGGCCTCCCCACACCCCCCACACACCTTCTCAACTCTGACTTTGTTCCGGCTACTGTTTCCTTCTACTTCCTCCTTTATAGCTTTGCTCTGGGACCACCTCATCAAGGAAGCATGCCGGGTGCACACTGAACCCCACTGCAAGATGCTCCGCTAGGTTGCTCTCATAGTAACTAGCTTCTGTCTCAGTCTGCACTGGCTTGAAAACTGCCCATTTCTGTGTTTGTTCCAAAACCAGGTCTCTGGAAACCAGGGGTTACGCCTCACTCATCTGCATGTGCCCAACACAGACAATGACATGTTTTGGGATTCAATAAACCTGCTCTGTGTCTGAAGCAAAGGTGGATGACCTCTTCCTTGCACACTTAAGGTACTAGGGCAGGTATTAACACATGGTATGCCTTAACTTCTGGCAAGCCAGAAAACATGCTAGTACTTTACCTATGTTACCTTATTTATGTGCAAAAGTACATGAATAGATACAATCATGACCCCTTTTATCAGGGAATAATTTCAAGCTGGAGAACCATGAGTCCCCCAGCCTTAGGGAGCTCCACCAAGGCAGAGCTGGGTTTCCACTCAAGTAGCTCTATATGATAAAAGCAGATACAACTGTTTTTTTACTAAAAGAAAAGAAATTTTAACAACTACCCGGGGATCTTTGGGTTGTGATGACTTAACATGTGAGAAGTTACAGTCCTTAGGTTGAATCTGAATTGTGGTGTTTTCCCAGAGAGTCAGAACTCTAAAATTTCTGGTCAGACTTTCTAAGGCTTGGCCATCAGGAAGTGCAAACTGTGAATGTGTGTTTCCTTACCAAGTGCCCACTATAATCAATGACCTGAAACCCTCAGATACAACTTCTAGTTCCTGGAAATGTTTTCTTGCAAAATAAGAAAAACTTGAAAAAACTCTAACCTCCATATATCCAACTTGGTCATGTGCCCTTTGATTCTGACAGATATCACCGATGCCAAACAAAGATCTTAGCATTTACCAGAACTATTCCCAGACCACCCGGTGCCCCTGCAGCGCACTCCATCTCAATCGATGTTGACTCCATTCTTCTGGTTGTTGGGTGGGTGGTATCTTGAGTTCTCTTTCTCTTACCATCATCATCAGTGCATGAGAAAATCTCAGTGGCTATACCTTATATACACATCCAGAACTCTATTACATTGTCTTCCATAACCTCCAATGCTTCCATCTTGACCCGAATGATAATCACCTCTTGCTTAAATTACTGCAATCACCTCTCAACTGACATTCTTGCTTTGCCTTTGATCTTGATAGTCTATTCTCCAAATAGCAGCCCAAGTGACCCTGTTAAAAACTACATGAGAATGCATTACTCCTCTGCTCAAATCCTCAGTGGTGCCCATGGGTTTATTAAAGCCAGCATCAAGTTCTCCAAAAAACGTCTAAGGCCTCTCTGACTTGGCCTTCTGCTCCCACATTGCTGACCTCAAGTCATGTGTTTGCTCTTGTTCTCTCTGATTAGCCCCCATGATCTCGTGGCTATTCAGCAAACATATCAGACATACCCCCATTTCTAAGCCCTTGAACTTGCTGTTTCTTCTGCTTAGAATACCTTCTGCCCAGATGGCCATAGGGCTAGCTCACTCACCTACTTCAGGACAGATTCAAAGTTACCTTCTGTGTAAGTACTGTGTACTGTGTACTAACTAAAGGCACCACTGGAATCTAAAAGCAAACTATTGGGTACTATGCTAAGTACCTGGGTGACAGGACCAACTGTATCCCAAACCTCAGCACCATGCAATATACCCAGCTCACAAATCCACAGAGGTACCCCCGAATCTAAAATAAAAGTTGCAAATTATATATTAAAAAGTCACTTCCTAATTAGAGCCTTTTCTGGCCAACTATCAAAAGTATTTTGATGATTTTCTATCTTCCTCATTTGAAACAAGGCCAGAGATTTTGGTTGGTATTTTATTCCTGGGATGTAAGTCAGTGGCAGTACATAAAAGGTGCTTAAAAGTAATTATAGAAGGTGGTCAGGCACGGTGGCTAAGGCCGGTAATCCCAGCACTTTGGCAGCTGAGGTAAGCAGATCACTTGAGGTCAGGAGTTTGAGACCAGCCTGGCCAACATGGTGAAACCCAGTCTCTACAAAACATACAAAAATTAGCCAGGTGTGGGTGCCCGTAATTCTAGCTACTTGAGAGGGTGAGGCAGGAAAATCACTTGAACCCAGGAGATGGAGGTTTCTGTGAGCTAAGATCGCACCACTGCACTCCAGCCTGGGCAACAGAGTGATACTCTGCCTTTAAATATATATA